TCGAGTGAATCTAATGAATCTAACTCGACTTTTGCCCAAAACAACCGTATATTTGAAATCAGCGCAAACTACTGGGTCGATCTATATACTTTCCAATATCTGCTGATAATTTTTATTTTCGTCCAAAAATTCGACTGGGGTCCCCCTCAGGGGTAGGCCAAAAAATTAAGTTCACTAAAACTCCCTTATGACTCTCAAAAATGAATTCTGCACGTCTAAAAACCTAACAAAACTTAGAAAAACAATTGATTAATTAATGAAAACATAGTTTAGTGAACTTAATTTTTTGACCTATCCCTGAGGGGGACCCCAGTCGAATTTTTGGACGAAAATAAAAGTTATCAGAAGATATTGGAAAGTATATAGATCGACCCAGTAGTTTGCGCTGATTTCAAATATACGGTTGTTTTGGGCAAAAGTCGAGTTAGATTCATTAGATTCACTCGATATTAGCCAAAAAAGTGCACTTTCCCTACCCCTCGACCATTGCGGTTCACATAAAATGTCTCGGACCAACTGGAAATCAGATGAATTGTATATCAGTTTGTAGTAGGGATGCACCGGTGACGATTCACCGTACACCGGTCCACCGCAGAACCGGTGGACGGTTCACCGGTGTGCGATGGAACGGTGGGACCGGTGCAGCGGTCATTTTTTTTTGTACTCCTCCGCCTGCACTACGCAGTAGATTCCAGAAATTCGAGCACTTAATTTTCTGGTAAGAGGAGATCCCTTGTCCTAATAAGATGGTCTTTGAAAATACTGAATGGAAATTTGGATGTGCCAGAGGACCAAGTCTGCAAGGGTACAGAAACCTATGGTGAAGACCGGCATATTAGTACCAGCGGATGCATTGAGCCTTACGTTGTCTAAGTAACAGTAGAAACAGATAATTAACGTAGTTTTTATAGTTCTTCATTCACAGTATTCATCTTAATAGTGATAGTTGAAGCTATATTCCTGAGTAGACGAGGTTATGACAAAAGAAACATTTCTTTCATACCTGATATCAGTGATTAGGCCAACAAAAGCACTGATTAAACAATGAAAACGTATGATAATGAGCGGTTTAACAGAAGCAGCGGCTGATGCAAGCATGGAGAGGTCTGAATAATGGGCGAGCTTTACCGTCTCACTAAGTTCTTTGTATTCTAATCGGTCATACTCGCCTATCCCTGAAGATGGAAGCCCTTTTCTTGATTTTTGAGTGTGATCGTATCGGAGACACACTTTCGGACACGAATATAATGATCAGGTTAACGATATCGCCGTTTTGAACATAAAAACCTATGGTGGTAGTCGGCGTTTCATTATCACCATGTACTGTGATACCTAAAGTGCGTGACTAATGGTAGAAATCGGCAATCACCGTGGGTTTCAACTTTTCTAACTGGCGCCATTGTTCTCGATCGTCATTATTCAAACTGTATTTTTAACTGCAGACTATTATCTTACAGAAAACATTTTTGGCGCACTAGCACAATGACAAAGCTAACAATACGATCAATGGGAGTAGGAAAGCCTGTAATAATGGAGGCTGTATCTGTCTGAGCGGTTGCTGTGAGCTGTAAAGTGTTCTATTAATGGCAGAAAAGGGCTATTATGATAGGTTCCTAGCTTGTTGTCCGAGAAACTTATTCTGACAATTATAAGAAGATGTGATCCTTGCTCTGTTGTATTGGCGAAAGCGCAGAACTACAGCACGTATTCTCATAAAAATTGGCCATTATTTCATACTTTGTGGCTTATTCGTAGACTTAGTTACGACTTAAGTATGATAAACTTTGCTTGGGAAGTAATGTAATACAACAATATGGGATTTGTCGACTAGGCATCACTGATCCGTGAGCAGGGATGCGACGGTATCGATTATTCATCGATATTTTCTTGGTTTCACTGATCTAACTACAATACCTGTAGCTATTAGCACTGGTAATCAAGCGAGCTCTATTATCAGCAATAAAATGATGTTTTAGGAAAATAATAGTATTTTATAAAGATTGACGAATGTGAATCGGGGTTGAGAGATCCAAATCTACAACCAGATTGTCCAATTGTACAATTTCCTTTCTTGACGAGTAAATCGCCCCCTGAAAGTCGTGCTCTTCTTACAAAACTTCCTCACTCCTGAAAAGCACCAACTGTCGAAAACTAAAACTTAAAATTTTCAAATAATAATTAGAGATTCGGACTTCTCGACCTCGTCTTAGTGTCGCCACCCTTTATATAACACCATGATTTTTTTAGAAAACCCTTTTTGTTCGGGAGAATCAGCTTCAGTTGATAACCATATTTCTTACCTATGGTTATTGCAGTTGAAACGTTAACCTTATCTTCGGCAGCCGTATCTATCTTTATCGTAGCTGAATCAGTAATCGTGCCCACGGTTATTGTGGTTGGATCGATAACCATCCCAAAGGTTCTCGTAGATGGACAGTAATCGTATCTAAGATTATCATTGTTGGACTGATACCTGTAGCTAAGTTTATTCTAGAGAAACAGGTAACCGGATGTATGGTATTCGTTAACGTTGCATGCCTATCCATGTGTGAGCTTTGACACATAGCTGCCTCTTCACAATGATTTCTCAGAAGGATTTCTCTCAATATAAATCTGTTTTATAGAAGAAACAAAAGACGTTTGAAGAAAACTAAGGCCTTTTACTAGAAGTATTACTCGATCATGATTTTTTGTGCGCTTTCAAATTATTGTTATCGGAATATAAACATTTTTTTCAAACCTTGTGTTTTAGTTGATGAATTCTTGTACATTAACTTCAAGTGTTCAATGCACAACTTTTTTCTGCTTGTTCTCACTATATTCTTTACTAGTATTCGAGCTTCCTGAAAGTCAAAATTTCATAATTAATTATTATTCATATCAGTAAGTACAATATATCGATCAACAAAGCTACAAGAAATCGATAGAATTTTTACAATATAGATTATATTCACACAAAGAAAAACGAAAATTATCTTTTGATACCGTTGAACATAATTATTATAGGATTCCTTCATTTGATCTATTCATAGTTACAAAAAATGAGCAAGTTGTTGTCCTAAAAATTCAGAAATAATTACAATAAAAAATTAACAGAAAGCGAAGTATGTATCAATTACATCTACAGTAAAATAAATAAATAATTCTTTTTATAAAAAAATATACACGAACATACAAAGAATAAGAAAATATACATAGAAGCAGTATATTTACATATGAATCGAAATATTGTAAAATAATTTACAATTTATCTTTCAAGAATACGGAATATGCTAGATTTTCGCCGGTAATGCGGCTCCTTTCTTTACGACCTATGAATGCAGATTGTGAAAAGGCGCTCTCACTTGGCACACTTGTAGCACAAGCTGATAGATGTATTTTGGCCAAGTGTGTCAATAATGGTAGTCGATCTTTATGTGCTTTCCAAAAAATTTTGGCAGATTGTGTTGATGGCTGTACTGCTGCATTAAACTGTTGGACGGCTAGTTTGAAGTATTTTAATTCTTCATTTATACTGATACGTTTGCTTTTTTCTTTATTGTTGCTTGTTAATATGATCTCTTCTTGACCACATGCAGCAATAAATTCGTCAAAAACAGATGGCTTCACTTCAATCTGTGCTGATAACGTTGATGAACTTGTCGAATTATCATTTGAGGATGATTCTAATGGATGAACATCATCTATTATAAGTTTTTTGATGTAATGTTCAATTTGTTGTTTTTCTCTATCATTTAGACATAAATGTGATGTTGGATCAAAATATGCAAATTTCTACAAAGAGTTATAGAAAATCATGTGAGTACATTTTTTTTAAATAGTGAGTATTCTTCATGGTAAATTGGACTGCAAAAATACTTGAGAACTAAACCTGGCAGAGCTAATATGTCAATCATTCTCTTTAGCATTTGCTCGTATAACCCACGACGAGGACTCTAACAAAGTATTGTCTATGACAGCTCTCGTTTCTTTTTTAAATGCAGTACATATGATAAAAAAATGGGTTTAGTAAATATCAACGCACTCTGTTGTCAAATATATTGAAGCTTCTTTTTTTATCATTCTTTTTCTGAGAGATCGAATGTCATACCTTACTTTCAGATAAACATTTTTCAATCGACTTGGCAAAAAGAAATAATTTTTTTCTGAGAGCATCTAATCATGTATACTGCATACAAGATAACTTCCATTTGCGCCATGCGAGCCCTTTGTTCTATATATTGAACTTATAAAGATAAAGTATATAATTTTCTAAAACATCGATCGATTTAATCTTGCGCGTAAAAAGGAACAGAGATCTGTAATTTGTATTTTAAAAAAAACAATATCAAAGTTTATAATCAACAAAAAATGGTACTTGACAAAATTGTCTTCATCCACGAACCTATAAACAAACTTGCTTTTTTGGCAAAGATTTCGATTCTCATTGAAACGTTATAAACCAAAAGAAAATATGTCCTTCATAAAGGTGACATTTAGCCTTTTTCAAGGCCAACATGGCCAACAAACGTGAAAGATTACCAATCTGGCGTCTCTAGACATAATCAATAAATCGCGTCGACTTTCTGAATTCATACCTGGATTTAGGTGCTTCTGTGAGCTAGCGAATCTCGGATGGTTCTTGAGTCCTATAGCAGTGTGTTGTAGCGTGATTGTGGTAAGTGAAGCTTTTATCGAAATACAATCAATCAAACAATTGCAGAATTAGACTTATAGCCAGCTTCACGCAGGCACTCAGTATTATACCTTTGCGGTCATCTACATCAGGTTCACAAAATATGATCTTTATAAAATAAATACATAGAATCAAGAACTTAAAAGACTTAAATGGAAGTTTTGTATTCCTTATACATGGATATATGCTCCTACAATAAATTTTAGCCCTATTAGTTTAGTCAACCACGAAATGTTCAACCTATAGTATGCCCAAAATACGATCTTTCAGAAAAAAAGATTTTTAAAAGACGAGATTTCAACATTTTGAAAATTAGCTAGCACCTAATCTCATCTAAATAAATGCGCTTATCGCATACCTTAAGTTGAGAAAAAAATCCCGACCAACTCTCAGCTTCGTTCTGTGACAATCGCTGCAAGATGCGTTTACTGACTCACAGGAGAATTAATTTTAAAGACAGGAGTAAATGTTGTTCATGTTTTATTCAATATTCAATTTAACTATGACGTCTCGGTTAAATCACGCTGAAAAACAAATCATATAGTAAATATTTTGAAGATTTCAGTAGATCATATTCTAATCGTTCAATAGACTTGAAACAATGTCAAATATGAATGGTATAATTTACTTTGGTTTGTTTCTGTACTTGATTCTGAAAGTTCCTATTCAAAAAAGTCATCTAAATCTCCGTATATGGGAATATGTTTATTCCTATCAGTTTCTACTCTAAAGTGTCTGGTATGCTTCACTTTTTGTGATCCGACCGTATCCGGATCATTTTTTCATGATTTGACTCGACTCGAGTCAGACTTTACTACTTGGTTCTAAGCTAACAAAGTTCAAAATCAAATCAGTTAATTTGAAGCGTTTTAGAATATTTAATAACAGAGCTCTATTAATCCTGACACATTGCTTCTATCCAAAACTATAATTTATGCTTAAGAATATTCGATCATCAGTTATGAAAGGTCTTAATCGACATTTAAAATTTAGAACAAGTTAATTTTATAAAGATTTATTAGAATTAATTCTACTTTTACACTTCGAACTGATGATAATCAAGTCTAGTTCAAACGCTAGTGATAACTTACTGATATAAAAAAAACTATACTCGTTAAAATCTATGTATTACTGGAGAGGCCTAAAATCGTGGTTTAATGCTTACTTGCAAATACTGAAATTGTGCAGAATCACAAAAAAAGTACTTGTTCAATTTGTCGGCTAATAATTTTTTAAAAGTTTTACTTTGTTCGCTACATTTATCATCTTTGGCACAAAAGCATTTAATTTCATTTATAGCATAATACGATAAGCCAATTGTAGCATATTCTTTTCCAGACATCATTTTAGTTGCAAGATAAAATGGTTTTAAAACAAAACGTAATACCGACAATAAATCCCAATTTTCAATTGTTAATTCAAGTTTTGCTAACTTAATTACTTGATCTTTTCGTAAATTCAATGACCATTTTTCGGTAAACAATTTGATAATTACATGTTTGAGATCAATAATAGCATCTATTAAAACAAAGGTTGAATTCCGCCTTGTCGGACAATCATTATTAACATTTTTGTTTGTCTTCATTGAGTTTTGTTCTTTACGAACAAAACGTGATATTAACGAAGATTTCTTCATCAGTTTGGCAATAGCACGACATTTTTTTAATACTTGAAGAATTAATTTTTGTGGTTGAGTTAAATCAATAAGATCTTTAATAACATTCGATCAACTATCATTGATTAATTCAATAATATCTTGTTCATTAATAAGTTCATCATCATAGAAATATGTTACTTCACTAAATTCAGTATTGGTTGTAGCATTATTATTATATGTATTAGTTTCATCAATGAAGTCAACATCATTAATGTTCCATGAATCTAAAAAAGTGTAGGATAATGAATTAAATACATTCATTTCAGAGAAATGTAAGAGAAGAGAAGATTGTTTACTATTTGTGATAGTGCTATGCACTGTTATTAAATATGTACTAGATATGAGCACAGAACAGAACAAAAAAAAGTAGCCATGTGCTTATCACTAATACATTTATATATATATACTTGTATATATGTATCAAAAAAAACTTACCATCATTTATTTCATGATCCCATTCTATATCCATGGTTTCTTGTTCACTTTCATGATCAATAACATTAGATGTTGTAGTATTGAGTGTTATAACATTTGCCAATGAATAACTAGGCCCATCAATATTATTCTTTTTTTCAGAAACCCAAAATCCTAAAGCATTTATAACCACCAAGTGAAGCCTATGAGCGTAGCACCAAATTCTAATAATATCTTCATTTAACAGCTCGCAAGCTAAAACCAAATTTTCAGCACCGTCACAGGTGATACAAATTATTTTTTCATAAACATCTAAATCAATCATGTTTTCTCTTAAAACTCTTGCAATTTCGATTGCTGTATGTCGTTCATTGAAACAAGAAAAGTCAATGAATTTAGAAACAGAATCAATAGAATTACTCATCCAATGACCTGTAATACAAAGAAACGATTCATTTTTTCGATTTGACCAGAAATCAAGTGTAATGCTCAATCAATAAACTCCTTTGAGTTCTTCTTTCAATAGTTGATGATGAAGATTGTTTAAACTTTTTAAATGTTGAACAACTTGATTTCTGTGTGGCGGTTTATAACCTAAAGAAAATCATTACATAATAAAATAGATAATAACACAATGTCTTTATAATAATAGAATAGAATTAACATTCGTTGTTTTCAATATAGGTTACACGATTATTTGAGACGTCTAAGGTAATGTATATTTATCAACAGTTAATAATGACTAATGCTGAATCAATCTATTGCGATGGGTGTAATAATATCAAGAAATGTAGTAATAACAAACCTTTTAAAAGCAGAATTGGTTAAAGTACTCATCCTTCATAGATCTATCCTAAATCAGTTCTATTCAAATCGACAGAAGCTTTCAGAATGCGTTAATTGTGTTATCGATAGACTGGTGAAGTTTTAGCCCTATGCAGCATATAAATGTGCATTAGGTCTAACAGACCGAACAGTTGTAATATGAAAGATGAGTATATTAGTCAGGAAGTAACTTAGATAGGCATCGTTTGGGTCTTCTTGGTCGACGACATGAGTGCTTTGGGTACTTCTTATTTAAAAATATTTAGCGTCAACATCATTAGAATACTGCTCGATCATGTCATCTAAAAGTAATACAAAAAAAGTTCCAAACTTTGATTCAAGGTTGTTACTCTATTACTCAGGTATATTTCTTAACAGCTAGTGTTTCATATCTGAGCATTTACTTGAAAACAATATAATAATTAGTGGAAAACAATATGAAAAAACTATTTTATTAGGCAAGATGTTACCAATCACATACATATATATACATATGCATATATGTATATCGGTGGGGTGCGCACATTAATACAAATCATTGACACGACAGGATGTTTGAAAAATGTCAACTGACAAGAATCGGAAACTGCTTATTTGGTAGATGAAAATATTTGGACGTTCTTCATTCTGTTTAGTTCATATTTTGGTTTGAAGGAACATGCTCAGATGAAAAATACCAGTTTTTAATTTTTACTCGTTAAGAAAAAAAATTCAATCTATTTTTACCCTCTCGAATAACAGCGCTATAACAAAGCAACACTCTCTTATGTGGTAATGAAAAAGCTTCATATAAAAAAAGACTGCCATATCTTGCATCTTGATGCAGCAGTCTTTTAAACAAAAGATACAAGCTACAACTAACTTCATTCGAGAATTCTAGGGTTTTCTACCAGAACGAATAAACAGAGAAAATTGAGAAAAGATCTTCGTGTTAATATAAGAAAAGCATATTTTTGAAGTAGACAATTACGGAATTTCTTTGTGATCAGTCGCCAAATAAATGGCATATCATTTATTAAAGATAGCGCCTCGTGCTATCGTTTGAATACATTTATTCGAGGTTTGGCCTTTTCTACACAAATTAACTAGCTTTTCAGAAAAGCTAACGCAAAACATCCTATACATGTCAAATCCCTACAACAAAGGATAGTGCTTAATCTTTGCGGAAAAAAACCTTCTCAAAGCGTCCCTTATATGTCATTCATGTGCATTAGCCTTCTTGGAACGTCGATTTCTTCATTTTATGCTAATCCAAAAATTAGAATGAGCTCTGAATTTTATTTTAGAGAATTATCTTCTTAGCAAGTTACATCGAGATATTTTGAAAAAAGAAGGTCTATCTGTACTAGATGCCAATAACCATCGACTGCAGAGCATTTATAGACCCCGACATCAAATTCAAAATAATTTTCTGAAACTGGTCAAAGAAATATGAGCTGTTTTAGCATCTTCAATGTTAATACATTATTCTCACAAGTATCTCGCAGAGCGATGTTTCTTTTCTAACATTATTTATTTAGTTAAAAAGAGTACTCCATACCGAAATCTTATTTACTAAAAACGAACGGTACGAAAATCAGGATATAAAAGATGGAATCTTGATATTTAAAAACATATTTGAACATGAAGTACTACTGTGTTTTTCTGTATTAATAATCTTAAAGAAGAAATATTGCTCTACACAATGCCTCTTTGAATACTGTATTAACATTAAAAATGATGAAATACCTCATACTTCTTTTACCATTTTCAGAAAATTATTTTGAACTTAATGTCCGGCTCTAGTCGCCTATTCGTCTACTCAATAAAAACTTAAGTCATGTTAATTAAATAAAACGGCTTCATCTTTCAAAAAAAAGACTAGAATAATAGAACAACTCCGAAACAATCGAACTCTTCTCGAAAAAATCAAAGGAACACTACCTTAGAAAAAAAGGAACTTACCAGGATAAAGTTTATTTATCAAAGCTGTAATACCAATTTTATTCAGGTCGTTGAATGGACGACTATCTTTAATAATTGCAACATAACATAGTTGATGGAGCTCATTTTTTAAAGCTTCTGATATTTTAGATTTTGCATGAACTGATGATGATTTTAATATAAGATCTGTTTTGTTGTGTTTAATAATAAGGTGCTGTCGAATTGTTGATGTAGAATGTGATCGACATGAACATATATAATCACACAGCAAACAAGCAGCTTCTTGATCATCATCTGATTTCTTAGCATATAGCCAGACTCTAGAGATGAACTTTCGACCACCAATATTTTGTTGTGATAATGGTGTTGGTGTTGACGTTGATATATCCGTATTGGTTTCACTTGAGTTTGGATCATTAATAGAATTCGACGTAATTAAAGAATTTGTTTGTGATGTAGTTATAATTAATTCATTATTTTGATCATTGTTGTGATCAAGTATTTTCTCGATTGGTTTCGTATTTTTCTGTGAGAGCTTTTGCTTCATGGTTTTAATGATGAGATATATATGGACTATGAATAGCAATATTAAATATACATGTTTATAAATAATTTATGAAGTTTTCTCTAAAAATCAAATAAGAAATTTTTTGTACGAAAATATTTATTCGAAAGTCTAGAAGATAATAGTATATTTAGTTCATCAATAAAATTTTTATTCGTAACAGCAATAATAAGAATAAACTTCCAATATGATTCACACGTAGATCAATACGTGTTCATTGAACCTTAAGAAGATAATCATATCTTACTCATATCGTCTATAAGTGTTACCTGTTTTATTTCCTAATTAAAAACGATTCTTCAAGAAAACAAACAGGAGCAAGAGGAAAAATAATCTTATAAAACCGTTAAATTAGTACGTTAAGTCTGTTGACGTATAATAAGCGAATAAATAACAAAAAAATAACTGAAGCAGTTTCGGTCGGCCATCAATTCAATGTAAGCAGAATGAAAAAAAAATACTGGTATCATCCAAATTAAGAATGTGAAGAAAAAAAAAACATATATGACACTAATGGTGATGAACCGTTGAATTATTATCTTCATTGAAAAGACGTTAATACGCTTACAGGTTATCATTGGCAATCTTAATCACCTTTATATCAACCTTATAAAATTAGAATTTCATAAAGTTAGATTTAACTTGAGGAAAACAATAGATTTAGAATTTCGAACCAAAAACTTATTTTGAGACTGAACTGTAAAGATTGTGTTTGTTCCATTTCGAACTTTAAATATTGAACTTGATGAGTTGAATCAAATACAATCAGTTGAATGATGAAATCTATGTCGATTCACTTCTCTAACGAGCTTTAATTTTTTTTTATTAACAAAAATAAATAGAATAAGCATAATTATAGATTGTTATTTACAATGAGCAGTATTTTATTTTTTATTAATATATTGATTTTTCTTTTTTTCTTTTGTTTTTATTGAAAATCTATATGAAATATATATAGATTGTATTACGTGTAAATACATATATAAAACAAAAACAACAGTAATACTTCATTTTCTTTTTTTTCTTGACAATACTACTAGTTCTTAATAATGATACATATTTTAAAAGATCTGCCTGTTTGCTGATGATAATAATCGTAGTATTTATAATATGAAGTAATAATAGTAATACTACAGCTTTCGGACCTTCTCGGTCCATCATCAGTAGATGGAATAATATAAGAATGCATAAACATGAATAATTAAATTAATCTTTTAAAATATGGAGTATTATTAAGAACTAGTAGTATTGTCAAGAAAAAAAAGAAAATGAATTATTACTGTTGTTTTTGTTTTATATATGTATTTACACACAATACAATCTATACATAGTTCGAATAGACTTTCAATGAAAACAAAATAAAAAAAGAAAAATCAATATATTAGTAAAAAAAAATTAGAAAAAATAAAATACTGCTCATTGTAAGTAACAATCTATAATTAAAATTTCATGTCATGTATTATTATTATTATTATATTTATAGAATAAACATAAGCCATAGATGGATTTAGCTCACATGAAAAGAACGTTTTATAATTCTGTAACAAAACATATCCTTAACGTATAGAAAAAAGGTTTATTATTAACATGATTTAATTGAATTCGATTGATTCCTAGATAAATGCAATTTATTTAGATTGTTACTATGTGTAAGAATAATAGCAATAGGTTGACTGGCTGATTTTCAATGAAATATATATTTCGACAATATACTTTTTTCATACTCAAAGCATGTCAAACATTGAATGATTTATAAAAATTAAATTTTAATTGGATTTAGAGTTTTTTTTTTATCGACGTCATCTTTCTGATGCTTTTCATCCTTATATTTTATATATCAAGACATTGATTGATTGATGAAAGTTTTTGAGAAAATTTTCTCCTTAAATATTTTTTCAAAGAATTAGAGTTTGATGTCGACAATATTTTTTAGAATAAATGTGATGCTGTGCCTCGAGCATGTCTCATAATTATAATACTGAAACTTAATGAATCCCTATGTAAAAAAATGACCTCAATAATCACAAAAAATCTGATTTTTAATCGATTGTAATCATACGATTCTTAATCAATGGTTTACACAGAAATAATCAGAAAAAAATCTGTGATTTTTTTCAATTTGATTATAATCGATTGTTTAACTCAATTTCATACCGGTTATTAGCAAATTGAAAAAATAACTGATTTGTTTGTGATTATTTCTTTGTAAACTATTGATTAAGAATGGTATGATTATAATCGATTAAAAATCAAATTTTTTTGATTATTTTTTTACATGGGTGACACTCATCCCTAAAGAAGTTAAAAGTTAAACTTGTTAATAAAGCATTATAATCGATTTTATTATATGCCTAATAACTGTTACATCTTGGACCAGACTTTTTCAAGTACAGAAAACGACAAGATTTCAAAGAGAACATTGTATTTTTCCATTCAACATTTAGAATGTCTCTGTCTTCTGAATGATAGTCCGATTTCATTTAGCATCACAATCTTTACTAAAATTGTAAGCTTTTCCCAGCAGAATGTTTTTAATTTCACCACGCATTCTACACCCAAATGGAAGATTACGTCAACTACAAATGCATAGGCATCACCAGTGATAATATCCTGTTTACTTGAATGAGCCATTCCAAGATACTTGACCATGCTTATTCCTACGACATAGCTCTTCAAAATTCTACTGAAGCTGCGCTCATAAAATTATTGTTGCAAAATGCTACGGGATTGCGACATGTTTTGGGATACAAATCAAATGCTTGAACTTCTTGAGCACGAGCGTCATGCAGTAAAGAATATTCTCGAAATTTGCATACATCCGAAAAAATCCTTCGTGAAAAAGAAAAACTCCTAGGTTTGATCACTCTCTTGGTGCAGCGTCTCTTCCGCAAAAGTTCTTGAAAAGCTACAATGATTTTACTTTTGATCACGGCTTTAATTAAGCTATTCTAAGCGAACGTGACTTACGCGAGCTTCACAAGAAACGAAGTCATACGTTCAGGATAAATCTTAAGATCGACACATGAAATAAGGCATTGATTCGGACGACTGTTCGGGTTTCTCCACGCAAAGGCTTCCAAGCACCTTCTTTAATACCAGCGAATATTAGGGAAACTTACGGTGTTGTCCTCTGCGTAAGCAACAACAGACTCCTTAGCATTAATGAGTTCGAAAAATGGTACCCACCAATCATCACCGCAGGTTCCTAATGTCATAAACGGCATTATTACTTTTCATGGCGATTCTCAAAATTGCATAACTGAGTACCCGACACGGAGGCAGATGAAAAACGTTTTTCACACGCGTGTGTGATGATGAAGTCAGTGACAGGACTGATAGGGCCATGAAAACCTACGGTGACGGTCGCCAGACGGGCACTGCCGGTTATCCTAACGCTGAATGCATCTGAAGAATGGTAGAAAGCGGTCATCTTCATAGGTTTCCGCTCTCCTTATCGGCATTACAATTCTTCATCGTAATCATTAAAACTATATCATTGAGTCAAGGACTGGGGCAGATGACAATTTTTTTCGCAGATGAGGGTGATGAAGTCAACTATAGCATCGACAGGGGGATGAACACCTACGGTGATGACCGATTGGTGGGCACTACTGGTTATAATGAGTCTCAGCGTGTCTGAATATTGATAGAAACTAACTATCACCGTAGGTTTTCGCTGTCCCAATCTTCATTGTTGGTGATAAGGATATCAGTTGAGGCCGTATTTGTAAGTTGCCTGCATAAGCAGCTTTCATATTTGGATACATTGATAATGGGAAATGTTAGTTGTATGAAAAGACTGATGTTGGTTACCATATGCATAGAGTCCGTAGCGATGAATAAGGATGCAACGGTGACAATAATTATAGATACGGTTATCGGTTCAAATCGGTTTTCACGAAAGACAGTATTTTCTAAGAAAATAAAGTTTGTCTTATACGGGCTGACAAAAGTAAATCGGGTACCGAGAATCTCAGTCTGAAGTCAGATTTTGAAATTTTTGAACTCAATCCTTTAGGTTAATAGAAGGGTTTTTAAAAAGTAAAGATTCTTTTATAAAAGGTGACGAAACTACATCAGGGCTGAGGAATTCGAATCTAGTATCAGCTTTTCGAAAGTTTGAGTTTGAACGTTCACGAAAAGATGTCTTTCTGAAAGTTATGGTTTCCTTAAAAAACTATTTCCCACGACAAAATCATTTTTCTTCACAAAAACTACTTTTTTCGAAAGAAAAATTAATATGAAAACATGGAATTCGAAATTTCGAAAAATTAATATCAGATGCGAATTCCTCGACCCTGATTTACTTTCGTCAACCTTTATTTAAAAAATCATTATTCTTTTTTAAAACTCTTCTATTAACCTAAACGATTGAGTTCAAAATTTGCAAAGGTTGATTTCAGATTGAGATTCTTCCATTCCGATTTATTTTCCTCAACCCATTTTAAAAAAACGTTATTTTCTTAGAAAATACTATCTTTCATGAAAACCGACTTAAACTGACCATCGTACCTATGGTTAGTGCAGTTGGGCTGACAACCGTAGGCAGGCTTGTCAGTATGGACAATTGAATTGATGATTGGCTAACTGATGACTGATCATCACCCTTGCATCCCCAGCCATGCAGTGATTATGGTTTAGAAACTGATTATGAAATTTGAGAAACACGATCACATATCACAGTATCCAGGTCGATAACGGTTCAGGATGCACTTCTCAACTATGGAATGAGTAGCTTCACTTTTGATAGGAATCGGATGAACCTGATTAGCTTTAATTGTAGTACGTTGTGACCGGTGCTTACGGTGCACCGTATATCGGTGGAACGGTGAACGGTGCACCGGTGCTACGGTGAACCGGTGGACCGGTGACACCGGTAAACGGTGAACCGGTGGACCGGTGACACCGGTGAACGGTGAACCGATGGCCGGTGATACCGGTGGCCACCGTCACCGTTGCATTCCTAGTTTGTAGAGCTTTCT